CTTAACAGCTCCCGAACCGAGTCGGTCATCCGTAGGATAACCATTCAGTGACCCGTTGATGGGCACCCGGGGCTGCAGGGCCAGCTAGTAAGCATCAAGCGAGTGAGTAGAGAGTAAGTACAAACTAGTTCTGACGAGCGTGTCCACAGATGACACGTCCTGAGGCCTGAACCACAGCATCAGTGCCGATTGAGCGGTCCGCACGCACACTCATGTCAGAGACGTTCCACAGAGAAACTGCAGGTCAACGACTAGCAGCTCTACATCTATCGTCTCCTGTGAGCAATCTGTCCTAGTAAACGCCTCTCTTCGTCGCGCTCACGGGGGATACATGATTCCTGCATTGGTAGTTGAGCTTCAGCAACAGGAAACGCGAAGGCACGAGGGCTACTGACCGTCGCGCAGCAAACACGTCGTCAGCGGCACTCCAGTATTGATACAGCGTGCGTCCCTCCAGTCTCCGGACAGCTTGATCCAGACTAGACTTCCCAAATCTCCCTGCGCGTGCGTAGCGCGGGTTTCCCTCTCGAAAGACCTGTGAAAGCGGGGAAGGTCGAGGCGCAGACGCGGGAGTCGCGAAACGATCGGCGTTGGCCATGTCAACAGACAACAAAGCCTATCGACGAACGATCACCACCAAGACCAAAGTGACACCACCGCGATCGCGAGACGACGCCCCGCGGGAGCCCGTTGCTGTTCACCTTGAGGTAGCTTGGGTCCCCAAGTACGAGCGACTGGCGCTTATTGGCCCTGCCAGCGGTGTTCGACTCCGTCGTCATCGGTGTCGTGTGAGGCGCACCCACGAGAAGCGAAGCGAGAACCATTCCCGCCGCCATGCGAAATCCTCCTTCTGAGCCGCGCCGGCAGCAGAAGAGATCGGTATCGACGGCAGGTCGTCCGGCGCTGCAGGACACCCGTTGTGCTAGCGTCAGGCCGCGCAGGTGCCTCGGCACTCTCGTCTTTCCCCTGGTAAAGTAATCGAGTGCGCAAGATCGCTCGGTGCGGCTGTAGCTAAATTGCGGAATTGGGGGACTTGTGCGAGCTAGTGGAGATGCTTTGTCGCGTGAAAGGGAAGAGGCATTCAGGTATTGGAGGTAAGCGTGGATCAGCCTCGGAGTGTTGTCACTTCGACACTAGCTTGATATGAGCGACGACTAGGAAGGGTGCGGACGTCTGGATGCTGGCGAGGAGTAGGGAAAGCAATTGAATTTGAGCCGGAGAGTGAGAGCTGACGCCGTCGCTGTCGCACCCGCCAGCTCGGGAGTGGCGCTCGTTGCAGAGAAGACGGCGCCGCAGCGGGCAGCACAGATCCGAGCAGGATTGCGGCCCTGCTTGGACTTCATGTTGCCCGAGTCCATTACGATAGACGCCCAAAGAAAGTAAACACAGGTACCAGCAGCGATAGATTTTTGTTTGCAAGTCGCAATCGCCCACTCGTTGGGCTCTTTCTAGCTGAAGGCTTACAGTGCGAAGTGCTTGCGCGACATAAGAGCCACAAAGCGCAAGTGATTGCTCCATCTGCCGGGTGGACCGAATACGACCTGATTTGCAACGCCCTCGGCGCTGCGAAACATATTGAGCATGACGTGGCCACGCTCATAGATAAAGCGAGCACATACGTGTGAGTACTGCTCTGGGCCGTTCGCTGCGCAAAGATTTTCCTGCGCTTCGCGTCGCCCGCGCGTGGGGTTGTCGAGTACACCCGGACCATGTTGCCGACGTTTATGCGAACGTCAATGGAATGGTCATCAAGATACCCTGCAACAACGAATCGACGTGCACCTCGACAGCTTGCAAATCAGACAGAGTCTAAGCTAGTGCTTCTTGAGAGCTGAAAAGGGGTGATGCCAAGACGTGGTCGTGAGCATAATGGAGCAGCGGAAACGCGAGAGTCTCTTCTTGGCTTGCGAATCCACAGAACTTTGTCTGGCCACTGGCGGCCCTAATATCTGCGTGAGCGCAAGTTGTATCAAAAGTGATATAAACGTACGAGCTTCCGCCTAACGTTGCAGAAACGCACGAACTTGAGCGGTAGAAGGCCGTGACCCACGCGCGACTTCGTGGGCCCGCTCTTCGATATAAAGGTGCCACACACAGTGCTCCACGAGATCCTATAGTCCTCGAGCTCCAGTTAGCTTTTCTTCCCGTACACATTCTGACGCTGCTCGTGGGCGTTCCGAGACGGATCGAGTATGGAGGTCGAAAGCCAGTGCATCCAATCGTCTTCCATTGTACTCTTGAGATCTCCAAAGGCGCTCCTCCTGTCTCGAGCCTTCCGTTGCTCTGTGGATGGCTATCGTCGTCCTAGAGAGCGAGTTCATCCCGGCCGCAGCGCACAGCAGATCATACGCGGGCAAGCCACAGAGAGATTCGACACTGTACCCAAAGGGGTTGCGCCGTATTCTATCAAACAGCAGCCAGCTGAGAGTAAGTATGCATGCGCACCTAAGTCCCAGCTCCGTGCCAATATACTTCTGACCAACGACTCTCCCTCCGGATTGGCGTCCTGTAATTGATAAGCGCGGCTCTGGTTGCCAGTCGAGCTCGACGAGCGTATCCAGCGGCATAAGGGCGCTTGAAGGGAGCAGAGAAAGGGGCTGTCGCAGACATCCTCCTGCTGGGACCAGACGTGGTGGCTTGGAGAGCGTGAAGGAGAGCCGGTCGCAGTGTTATACCGGCGGCAACATCCGGAGAGCGAGACAATTTAGACGAAGCATGGAATATGCTTCACATTTGGATTTCTAAAGAAAAGATTACATGGCGACATCTATCGCAGGGCCCGGCAGAGGCCGACTCATGGCGGAGGTCGAGGAGCAGAAGAGCCAAGTCGGAGTTGGTCTCTGCTCGCCCAAAAGCGCCGGCGGTCTCCGAGCGCCACAAGGCTTCGCCATTTTTGTCGGAGTTTTGCCACCTTCACCTCAGGCCACCTGCAGGGTCTGAGTCGGAGCGTCCACATCCAGTTCGCTGTCTATTTTGCGCGTACCAATTCCGCCGCGCTGCACCCGCCAGCTCAGGAGGTGGCGCGGCCGTTGGGGAGAAGGCAGCACACGATTCTGCCCAGCATGAGTCGGCTGTGGCGTGTCAGGCGAGGTGAGCGTGTATCCTTGGGTTCAGGGCCAGTGAATATTCATCAATATTAATGTATGTGCTTCGCGATACAGCCGCAGACCTTGCGCTCTGGGCGTCGTCCTCGTTTCCAACGCTCGCACGCGCCACTCAACTTCATACTCAAGGACCACGCATACTGTCCCGCATGACAAGCCTCGAAGGTACGCGCGTGGCAAATGGATGAGCTCCGGAAGAGCGAAGCTCCCAAAATTTTGAAACTTGAAATCGGACAGCCCGGCAGGTTCGTGGCAGGTAACGGTGTCGTGCGCGCAAGCTTTATCGGGAAAATGACATCTGGAACGCAGGTATCGTCACGTTGAGGAGCAAAGCCGCGAAAGATCGCATGGGTACGTGAGCTGCGGTGCATTCTTGCGAAGCGGCCCGAATCCTCACACGTCCTTTTGGTTCTCGAAGCAGCTTTCAGTTTTGACCGAGATTTTAAGGTCGACATAGACAATACTCTCCACAAAGACGTAAATCGAGAAGAGCTACTGGCATTATCCCGCTCACGAACACTCCCTGGCTTCAATACCTCACCAGCTACGAGGAGATGCCAGCTTAAACTCGGCAATGTATGCTCGAGATGGATTTTTTCCGCCGTTGCGGAGCGTCCTACACGACTATCCCGTCTGTGTTTGCATCCATATCGGCGACAATCGAGCAGATGACTCATGCGTCAGGGACGTTTACATCGAGAATGTGGAACGCGTCGAGTCGGCAGCTGCGATTCGCAACATAAATGCACCGCTGGTGGCCTCGATGTTTACCTCTCCCGGGCGTCTTTCATTGCGTATTCGAGAAACCTGAAGCCCAGGCGACGCCGCATGCACCTATGGTACCTGCTGCGACGCCATGTCTCTACGACAACTACTATGCCCGACCCTGCGGATAGAATGGAGTCAACATCACCTCTCGCTCTCTCCGCTCGCAGGTCCATGCCTTCCCTGCCCCTAAAGAATGATGTCTCTCCTTGGATCCCAATGATCGTTTTTCTCGAGGCCGTAACGAGACGACGACGCTCCAAAGTTGATCCCCACCTCTGATACTCAAGCGCCTATTGTGCCTCTTCCTCTTTCGCGACGCTGCGCCCCTGCCCCACGCCCCAGACACGGCAGTATCCAACTGTCGTGCGCACTCCGAGTTTGCCACGTGGAAAGACGGAGACCACGGAGGCACCTGACCAGCACGGCTCAAACACACTACGCATAGTGAACACACCTGGGGACCTCGTACTACTGAGTGTTCTACCGCATACACACATTTCTGCTGTGCTCGTCGCGGCAGGAAGGCAAGGTACCGCCTGATCCCCGCTTTTCGCAGTCGCACCTTGCACGACAACCGGTGACGACAGAGTCGACGCCACCGGAAAGGGCAGAACCAAGCGCTGATCACTCGCGCTCGAGAACCTCAAGATCGACTGCAGCGAGTTTGCGCGGGGTATCATTTCAGGACTGTGGTGGCCTCGCTTTGTGTGGTCGTCCGCCAGCAAGCCTCCCTGTCTGCTGGCTTGGCTAAACGCCCGCCATCCCACGACTTTCGCGTCTGCATCACAACTTTCGCAGCTTTCATTGGCCAGGCGGTCCAATGTTACGATATATATGTAACGACATGCTCGCCAGCATGTTCCACCTGGCATGCAGAACACGAAGCGCAACCAGTGCACGGTGCCTGGCGGCCATGCGCGCATGAACCCGTCGCGGCGCAGGATGGGCTGCGACCCCACGAAGGTATGGAGCCCCCAGTACATGCATTGCGACTGGCGTATGACGAGCAGTGGTATGGCACAGGCCGACAGTGCGTACGGAGCGACCGCAGGCTGTAGGCAGCGTCGTCGGCTCAGGTCCTCAACAACCCGGACGCGTCGAGCAGGGCAAGGAAGGTGGCCGGCAGATACAGCAATGGTGCGCGGAAGGAATGCGAGGCGTTCGCTTTTCGTTGTGTGTTGCGAACTGTATATCGTGTCTTCTTTTCCTGATGTTCTGCCGCCGATTGGCAATTGCTCGTAGGTAAACAGTTATATTACGAATCTCCACATATGTCTACATGAGTACTTAGCATGTGCAACACACCCTCTACATCAATTATTCTGTCATTGTTTTTCTGCTACCTCCTCTGCGGGCTTAGGCCGTCACCGTGACGACGCAACGAGATCACAATACATTGAGATCTAGGCAGTGAGATCGCGAGCGGAGATCGAGTAAAAGGTAGGTGCCACGCTATTTCTCCTGTCAGCATTTGTTTTGCAACATGTGTTATAGTCTACTCTTGCCATGTACACACGCTCTCGTGCTGAGCACTAGTCCGAGTTAGCCCGGTGAACGCGTCGGGGTCCCGCTCTGCGGCAGTAGAGATAATATGGCTATGACCCTCAGCGGGGCCTGATAATACATACAAAGAAAAGCAAGGAGTGGGATGATAGGGTGTTGCAATAGATAATATGGACAAATATAAAGGACGCACACTAGGCGACCGAAAAATGGTAAATGACAATCGAGCTCAAGAATCATAAGCAACGTCCAAATGAATACAACCAGAGAGAGACGAGATCT